TCGCAGGAAAAAAAATTAAGAACGTGAAAAGTAAAGAGCGTAGAAAGCGTAAAGGGAGCACACCAAGATTTACCCTGGTTCACCACAACTTGTGGCTAATCCAGCCTCCCGAGAGACTCTCTCGAGCTACACTACTTCCGTTAAGCTTACGGGTGCTTAACAAACCGTTACAACCTGAGAACTCGAGTCCCACGAGCCTTAATACACTTGCTCGGAGATACCGCACTCCAAGACTTCAACCCGAAGGAAAATACCTTTCCTTCGTACAACCAAGGGAAACAAGCTTCCCTAAATGTGTTTACAACACTAAGAACACTCAAGAACAACTCAAACTTCACAAATTGGCTCTAGAAAGCTATGGAAAATAATGTTGTTTGGATGCAATGATAATATGAATAAATTCAAGTGAATTGGTGAGAAAAGCAGACCCAAACACCCCTTTTTATAGTGCAAAATTAGGCTCCAACGGACCAATGCATTAAAGGAGTGATTAGCTTGATTTATGGGATTGAAAAGATTTGGGATCTGCAGAATATTGGCTTCCCATCGATGTTTAGAATCAACCATCGCTGGTAAGCCAATTTTTCTTCTGTTTTGAAGCAACGGTCACCTACCCATCGATGGGTACAAGCTTCCCATCGCTGGGTGGGAGGTTGACTTCCAAACAAGGAAAGAATCAACCTTTAATGACCACCAACGGTAATGCCTTCCCATCGATGGTATACCCTTACCATCGCTGGGTTCCCATCGATGGGATAGACTTCCCATCGCTGGGCAAGGTCGTTCTGCCTTGTGGTAATTTTGCACCAAGGCTCTAACAGCGATGGGTGGAACTCCCCATCGCTGTTTGGCATGGTTCTGGAAACTGGTTTGGCTGAGGAGCCGCTTACCCATTGATGGGAAGATCTTCCCATCGCTGGGTGAGTGGTTAGTCAAGAACCCATGGTTTTTGCCTTAACCACGGCCTAGCCAACCGATGCGAAACCCGACCGAAATATTCAAAGTTCTCCAAAATAAAAACCAAGTGTTTAAAACACTTATTTGATGTATTTGGCTAATAAATCGAGTAAGACACTTTAAAAACCACATCATTTAAGTGAAAACCATGGCTAGCCAAGTTTTATTCCGTTTTGAATGATTTTTGTCAAACGACCAAAAACGAAAGATGGTTTTCAAGGTTTTTTTGTTGGAGAACCGTTTAAACATGCCAAAGAGTAAAAACCAATCATAAAAAGTTGAAAACCACTCTGTTGGTTTGGACGCCAAAAACCATAGCCGATAACCGAGAGCCGAACGCCAGTTTCTGAAACCCGAATGCCGGATGGCTTGGTTTTTGGTTTGGGCGAACACCAAGTGTTTTTAATGACTTAAACATGTTTGAAAAGCATTTTTATGATTTAATAAGTGCAATAAAGGTTTTTAGCCTAAAGAGCCAAGGTGTAAAGATTGGGTCGGTCTTGATCACAATGAAGACTGACTCAACGACACTAAGACTAAGGTCTTCGTTCTTGGTCTTCTTTTAGCTCTTGTTCTTGTCTTCCTTCTTCGCCTTGTATATTCAAAGTTTGACTTGATCACGGCGGTTTGGCATTATCAAAACCTGTCATAAAAACAAACACGGCTTTAGTACGAAAACGTGACATGCCCGTGTTTCAACAATTTCCCCCTTTTTGATAATGGCAAACGAGATGAGGTTATGCATATGAGGAAGTCTTTGAGATTTTAAAAAAAGTGTTCCCCCTTAATAGATGCCATTTTATTTAAAAAAATAATTCCCCCTCAATTTATGCATAACCTTGATATCTTCCCCCTTTT